TAATATGTATGGTGACAAATAAATGTTTGGATTTTTTTTTAAATCTTTTGTTTGTTTGGTTTTTTTGGCTCTACAATTAGAAAAAAATAACATTAACATCCTGTGCTGCGGAGAAGATCCTGCATAATGTGAAGAAAAGAGATCTGAGGTTTCAAATCCAATAAAATCACTCACACTGAACTGTTCTTCTATTTCCATCCAGACTCCAACCTAATCACATCTTAACACACTTTCAAACCAATCTGAGTGTGTGTGTTTAGAAGCGTTCGGTGTGGAATCCCAGAATATATACAGTATATATATAAAAAGCCCTGGATTGATCTGAACTGGGCCCTGGAAATAAACCTCTTTGTTGTTGCACCGACCCGTTTCTGGCTGCAGCCGAGGACCAGGAAGGTCTCGATGCTGTTCTCCTTCAGATACGCGTTCCTCTCGCCACCGAAGCCCGGCTCCACCTCGTAGTCCCCGTTCAGGTACTGCAGGGTGGCCTTGGTGATGTGGATCCGCCTGGTAAAAACAGAAAGACCAGAAATGTGTCATTTTTTTGGGTCTTATTTCTATTTTTTGTTTCTTTTTTAAACAAACACAGAAAGAAAAACTTCAGTTTTTTTTCCCACTCACCCTGCTTTGCCTCCCGCCTCCATGTGATTGGCGAGCGTGACGTCGTTCGACCACACGTCGAACTGCCACTTCCTGAGACCCAGCACGCCGCAGTGCACACGCCCGCTGTGAATGCCCACGCGCATGTTCACGTTGACCCCCGTCACCTCGCGCACCAACCTGCACACACACCAAATGCCAGCATCTCCTCTGCAGCCACGCGGGGAAAACATCAACACGGCCAGAAAGACGTTTTGCTTGTTTGTTTTTTTTTTAAACTTACGAGATGGCCTCGATCATGTCCACGCCCATCTCCACACAGCAGTGGGCGTGGTCGGCCCGGGGCTCGGGCAGCCCCGACACACAGTAGTAACAATCGCCCAAAATTTTGATCCGGAGGCAGTGATTCTCCTGAGGAACAAGAGGATGCAGGAGATGTTTGACTGTGATAAAAAAAGGCTGATAAAAACTCAGCGTTCCCTCTTACCGAAGCCAGCTTGTCGAAACGGGCGAAAAGTTCATTGAGCGTCATGACGAGCTCCTGAGCCGTGCACTGAGACGCCAGGCTGGTGAAACCCTCGATGTCTGCAAACAGAATGCTGAAAACGTGGAAAAGACAGACATTTTCTGTTAAAACATTTTTATTCCTTGATTACAAGTAAGTAAAACAGCCAGCTTTAAAGTTTAACCACTTGTTTTTATCAGCTTTGGAACGCAGCGGTCAGGACAGTTAACCTCGACGGAGGAAAAAGGTTTGACCTTAAAGTCGTCTCAAGGATTTCTGTGACTGGTGTGTGTGTGTGTGTGTGGACGGGTTTTTCCTACAACGTGGGGAAAATTTTCCCCAAAAAAGCAGTCTCATGGGGACTGAAGTGCATTGTGGGGACCAGTGCAGGTCCAAATGCATGTTATGGGTGTGGGGTTATGTTTAGGACCAAGGTTTGGGTTAGTTTTAGGGTCAGGTAGGTAGGTACCTGCGAGGTTAATTTTAGGGTAAATGGTCAGGGTTAGGATATAAAGTCTAAAAAAATGGATGGAAGTCAATGCACGGTCCCCATAGGGTTCAAGAACAAACATGGGTGTGTGTGTGTGTGTGTGTGTGTGTGTGTGTGTGTGTG